ATATAAGAATATATATATTTCTGTGTATGTACATAGAGTGAAATTATTTTTTGAATATTCTTAAACATTTTTTTTTATCTTTTTTGTTTCAGTACCTTCTACCCTTCAAGAAAGTTTATATACTTATAATTAATGATCATTAAAATTGTTAACAGTTTTTCTAAAATGAAGTCAAGGAATATATCTGAATTTAAAGAGAAAACAAATTTTAATTGCCTTATTGGCCACTTCCCAGTGTCATCTACTTAGTGATAGATTAATTTAATTGGATTCATTCTCTGGTCTAAACGTCAAAAAAATGCTTTTTTAAGACTTACAGTAATTGAAATGATTGATGTGCTTCTTGTATCTATTATAGCTTTTAAAATCTGTTTATCTACTGCCTGTTGTAGATTCAGTTAAATCACAAGAGGGCCTGTTTATCAAATTAGCTATCTAAGATCTTGCCAGTTTGCTTAAGTGAGATCATCTCTAAAAACAAACAAACAACAACAAAAGCCTGTTAACATCCTATGCAAGCAATTACATTCTGGTTTTTTGTTTGTTTGTTTATTTTTGATTCCCCCAATGCAAATCTTAGTAACTGCTGCTACTTTCTATTAAATTAAGAACAAATGATCTATAAGACATATGGCTTCAGTAAATACAATTCCAAAATGAGGACATAGAATGCTCTTTCATGACATATTTTTGTGATGGTGTCAGCAGGTCCTTAATTTACTCCTGAATTCTTAATGCCCAAGGTTTTGCTTTATTTATTTTTTCCTCTTTTATATGCTTAGTTGAAACTCATGGATGGATTTGGCATAAGGCACCACTCTAGATGTTTGTCTATTATGGATCAGGTATGTTTCCTGGCCTTATAAAGAAGTGTTTTGGAAACGGCTAAATTTTGTTATTAGGATTACTGGTCTATCATTAAACCACGGCTTTTGGTGAAGCCGCTTGGAAGCCCCTTAATGCCCATTTCTCCTTACCTTCCACCAGCTGTCTGTAAAAGGAAGGCAAATAACATGCGCTCCATTGCAAACATTTTTGCATGCAGAGAGAGAGGGGCGGGCTTGGTCAATTTCCTTCTCAGAACGCGGAAGGATTGCTTGCTGGGCTCTTAGCTTGATGCTACTGAGGCTGAGGGTCCTAGTGGACAGACAGGGATCATTTGAGACAGGGACTAAGGTACTCAGCATGAAAATGAAGCGGCTTTTGCCTTAACCTACCAAGCTTCCCGATTTAACCATTTTCTCATTTCCTGACTCTAATCATAGATAAGTCCTAGCTTTTACTGAAATAGAGGTAAAAATGTACGGGACAGCAGAATTAAAGAACATAAACAGAAGATGATTCTAACAGAGACATTTCCATAGAGAGAGGAAAATGTGGAAATAGCGTAGCATGACCATTCTTCAGAACTTTGTAGAACCTCAAAATCCTCCCTTTGTGTTTACTAGCAGTGCGCTCATGGGCTCTTGGGCAAATGGTAAAGACTACAAGACATGCCTGTGAAGTGCCTGGCCTTGTCCCCGGCAATAACTTGTGCAATAACTTGGGCCTTTCCTCTATATCCTTATGATGGTTAGGGATAACAGGGTAGCGTGCTTCTGTAACAGTTGGAAAAGAAAGTAACCTGTGAAAGACAGCTCTGTGTGTGTGCTTGTGTGCATGTGCATTTAACAAAACGGAGTTCTATTAATGTCCCCATAGATTCGACCTCGCAGATGGTTAGAAATGGACCCCACTCACTGCATGCCTAGCACTGATTTTCTATAGGTGTGGCAAATTTGAAAATGAGAGTAAGGGTACCTATAGAAAAAAATGGACTTAACATAAAAAAATCTACCAAAAATGTCTTGCAAATATTTGATAATAGATATTTGTGACTTTATTAACTAAATGTTTAGTAGTGAAAGAGTTAAAAAACAAAGACACAAATATGGAGGTCAAGTTCAAGCTGGCAGCAACTCCAATATTGGCTCCAATATTGACCTCGTAATGTACATAAACTGTGATTTTGCATGAGGTGACAGAAGTGACCTCAGAGGGGCTGGAAATGTGCAGATCTGTGTCTGGCTGTGAATTCCCACTTTGTTCCCGTGATCAGAAACACAAAGTCAAGTCCCAGCTCTGCTACTTGCTGTTCTGGCACCACTGTCTTACTCTACACACCCCACCCAGAGCACCCCACTTTCTGCTCTTTCTGCTTATCCAGTTTCCTAGACTGGCTCTCAGTAAAACTGGGAAGCAGTCAGTGAAGTACCTCCCTGGCTACCCACCCACTTTGACTTGCAAGGTTCCTAACTATCCTTCCTGTAACCTACCTCCCACCTAATTCTCTTCCCCTCTTCCTCCATGCTGTGTTTTGCTCTCAGCAAGCTTTCAATTAATCCCCACTGAGGTGCTAACTGATAACCAGGGTGTTAACTGAAGTGTGACTGCTTCTAGGATTATTTAAACTTTGAAAGCAGGCTCTTTGAAGACGCAAATATTCAGTTATATAGAGAAACTGAGGGAGCCTTCCTTGTAATTAATAACATCACAACGTCACACTTAGGAGACTTTCACTCTTAACTACGGACGTGCCCAGTCTCTTAGCCTAGTCAACAGCAATGGCTTCGGAAGGAGAGGCTTAAGGAGCTCTGTCAGCAGCGGGGGTGAGTGGCCACACTAGAGAGGCACAGACGCACTGCAGACAGGCTCACTCTGCTTCCTCTGACTTCAGGATTTCAAACGTGCAATTTGCTGGCAAACGGTGCCATACTGCCAGATCTGGGGTTTAAGACACTATCAGAGGCTTTTCTCACAGGATGCATACAACTGTCAGTGCTTGTTCTTCAAAAACTTTTGCAACCTGGAGCAGTTCATGTGGAGCTGCATTTTGGGAAGCTGCCAGTGAAAGCTAGATGTGAAAATATTCTATGCACGTGGTCAGGCCAGCCACAAAACAGATGCATTTCCGGTGGGGGCGGGGATGGGACTATAAAAATAAGTACATGTGCTTCCATAAGCCTAAGGGCAACCACGTTAGCCTTGGGTGGCAGTTGCTATGCTGAAGTGTATGACGGATGCTGCAGAGTGTGGAGGGAGCTCAGGAGCATCATCATTCCGCATGAACCATTTTGTAGTAAGCAGCATCCATCCTTTTTAAAGGCAGGTTACAAAGGTCAGAAGATTATTTTTAATTTGTAAATGACTGGCTTCCCCATGCATCGGAGTTTCACCTAAGGCACAATTTCTGTGCTTTCCCCATTAGATTTAAATTTTAAAATAATGAGGTTTTAAAACATAATGATATATTCTTACTAAGTTGAGAAGAAAATACTTCTTCAAATTTTGAGGTAGAAAGGTGACAATGAGGGTATAGAGGCCTGAAGGACCAGGGACCAGGAGGAGGTGATGGCGGAGGATGGACCACCCACCACTGTCTTCATGTCCAAGCAGGAATTCGAATGTGCTGAAATATATAACATGCCCCTGTGACTATCTTTGCCATACACTTATTTTTGAAGAATTAGTACACATCCATGTTCTTAAAGTTATCTGACATATATTTATATAAATCAGGGCATGAATTGCATTTGTAGCTTCTGTGTTTCTTCCTCTCCTTACTGTCATTCATCAGAGTAGAAATGGGGGAAATTGAGGAAGATACCTTTTTCTGGGTTAAAAATAGCAGTTTCTTTCCTATAAACATGTTACATACATGTATATATTTCTTATACACATACATATATTTTTAAAAATCTTACATTTAAAAATTAGAAATTAACATAAACCATTATGTTTGATTTTTATTTTAACTGAGTTTGAAAAATGTTATACGATGTCATATGCGATTGATGTGGAAAATGGTAGTAGAGGGTACTGCTGCTATTCAAATAGCTCCTGGAATTGTGGAAGCTACAAGAAATTTTCAGAGGTCATAGCTTTGGGATGTAGTTTTGGCTGCAGTATCTAACAATTCAAATAGAGTTACATAACATTACTGAGGCCTTTTAGCTTCCAGAAATCTGTTGATTTATATGGAATATTCACTTTACCTAAATCCTCCAAACATGAGAGATTCTCCTTACAGGGGGCTGATTACTTATTTCTTTCCAGTTTATTTAGAGTATGTAGAAAAGGAATGAGAAACCGAGTATGTTGTCATAAATGAAGGCTGGAAAACAAAATTCGCGTTAGAACTTCAAAAGTCCCCTTATTTGCAGGAGGGAGACAGTAGGTGTTAAAAGTTTTTGATTCCGGTTCTAGGTTCTAAAATACGGTTGCCTGGGAGTCGGGGAGTTTCTTTCTCTCTTTTTTTTTTAATGAAGGGAAAATGCATCTGTAGTATGTGGGAAATATAGGTGCATTCAAACGGCCTACCTGGTAATGATTCTCTTTTAAGAAAAGGAAAAAAGAAACTTCAGCCCGCTAGCATGAAAGTTCGTGCTGGGCAAAAACCCACTTGCTCACAAGGAACTTCACGCTCTGTGACACCCAACAGCCCCCGGGACCTGACGCGGCGCCGCCGCGGGCGGAGCTGGGCCCGGCGCGCAGGAGGAGGGTCCCGGGATTCCGCCGCGGCGCGGCGCGAAGTTTGCTCCGCTCGTTCCCACGTCTGCCCGCCCCCGGCGCGGAGCGGCGGCGCGGGAGGCGGGCGGCTGGCGCTGGCCGGCGCGGAGCGGGGACGAGCCGCTGTCGCGGGCGCACGGAGCCGCCTCCGGAGGGAGCTGGGGCGCTTTCGGGTCGTCCGCGCCGCCGCCGCGCTTCGCGGGAAGGTGGGGGCGGGGGCCGCGGGGCGGGGGCGCGGCGTGGACGGCGCGGGCGGCGGCGCGGGAGCCGGAGCAGAGCGCGGCTGCGTCTCCGGCGGGCGCTGCGGGCTCGGCCGCTGCCGGCAAGGTGATGCGGGGCAGCTGCGGCGCGGGGCCTCCTTCCCTCCCTTCCCCCGCGGGTCCGCGCGCGGCGCCCTGCCCGGAGCCTGCGGGCCCGCGTCTGACCGACCCTCCGTTTGTCTCCTGTCGCAGATGCTGCAGGTGCCGGCCGTGCTGTGCGTGTGCGCGGCCGCGTGGTGCGCTCAGGCTGCCGCCGCGCTGGCTGCGGCCGGGGGGCGGGCGGACGGCGCCAATTTTCTGGACGATCGGCAGTGGCTGACCACGGTCTCGCAGTACGACCGCGAAGTCGGGCAGTGGAACAAATTCCGAGACGTAAGTGCCGCGCCCTGCCGGGCACCCGCGCCGGGGAGGCCGGGCTGGGGGCGCCGGTGGCCCGGGGAGGTCGGGGACGCGGCGGGGTTCGCGCCCGGGGTCGCTGCCGGGCAGGGCGTGCTCCTGGCTCCCGGGGTCGGGTCTCCCGGGTTCCCGCCCACCCCGGGTGCCCCCCAGAGGTTGCGAAGTGCGGGCTCTACCCTCGCAACTTCTGACCGGCGGCCCCGGCACTGGTCAGCCGCGACGCGCCTTCGCGGTGAGTCGCTGCTGGAGAGAGCAGGCTCGGGGCGATCCGCCCTGGTGGCCCGTGGAGGAACTGGGGCGGGGAGGACGCCGCGAGCTGTATCAGCGCCCGCTCTCCGCTCATTACGTAAAATCGTGGGCCCCAGCTGTGCTTCGACGCGCACTTCCATCCGGAATGTGTTTGCGGTGCCCTCGGTCACCATGAGCTGCCCTGAAATCTGCGGATGGGGCGGGGGTCCTGCAGGCGACAGCCACGCAAGAGTTAAAGCGCAGACCCCGGGGGTTCCGGAAGGCTGTTGCGCGGGCCGGGCCGTGCGGGTCATCCCTCCTGGCCCGCACGCAGCCCCGTGGGCCGGTTCCTCCGAACCACGCTCGGCTGTCCCGGCGGGGCCGCCCCCACACACCGTGTCCGCGGAGGCCGGGCGGGCGGGAGGGCGACCGCAGACCCGCTGCAGCCCTCGGTGACTCCGACACTGTCCCGGGAGTCGCTCTGCAGTGCGCCGCGTGGGGCGAGCGCCGCTCCGCCAGCTCGTGCCCTGGCCCTGACGGGGTCAGCGGGCGCTTGCTCTGGCTTCCGTCCTGCCGCCTCCGCCTGCCCCACTCCCCTCCGCGAGTAACCACAAGCCACAGCTGTCACAGCGAGTCCTGAAGGAACACTAATTTTTACTTTACAATTAGATTTAGCTAGTTGCTGCTTGGCGTGTGTACGTGGGGTGAAAAATGAAATGATAACACTTAGTGGTCACATGCTTCATGAACAAAGCTTAAACATCACTTCATTGCCAACCGAATGCTCTCATAAAAGCAAATCCCTTGTACGTTTGCTTTAAGTGTATACAAATATCGAATACAACCCCAAAGGCAAGCAAATGGATGAGATATTTCTAAACCTGGAGAGAATTTGTTTATCATGCCCTGATTTGGAAAAAATATTGAACATTTTGTCAGCATTTGAACAATGCTTCCATCTTAGGATATTTCCTTATGTAATGGCTACTTTAAAATCTTTTTAAAATGAATTTTTGAAAACCCTCTTTACAGTGGGATATGTTTAGTAGGTACACTGGTTTGACGCTGTTTTCCATATTTCTAGCTGTGTTGGGCAGTGATAACATCAAGTACACAAAATTCTCAGTGGGAGAATTGTGAAAGTACTACCACCGTCCCTCAGAGCAGGGGTAAAAGCTTTCTTCTCTGAAATGAATTTTGAATTTTGAGTATCTTGGTATTCTCTGACTTTATTCAAATTACTTTATTGAATTGTTAAGAGTGACCAGTCTACACTTGGCTAGTTTGTGAATGGGTTTGATTTAAACTATTGACACAGGGTGAGTTACCTACTATGGAGCTAAATATTTTAGAATGCTTGTAGCCAGTATTTATAGAGACAAAGCATTTTATTGCTATATTATTTTCAAGTACTCTTATGTGATATCAAGGAAAAAGTCCATCAACATTGTATGTAAATATAAATAAAGGATTTGCTGAGACAGTTTAAGCAAATGCCTGTTTCACGGTATATGCAGTCCAAAAATATAATAATGCCTTTTTTGAAAAACATCAGGTTTTAGCATTACCATTTTAGTAAGACAATTACATTTTTGAAAAGGTGACTCCTGGAGGGCGTGGAGAAGATAACCGCTATCATTTCTCTGCCTCCAAACACCTGTTGCTTACTATTAAAATGATAAAATATATGCTTACAGCATGGCTTCTCAAATAATAACGCGGAGTGCATAATACAGAATTTTTACTTAGATCACCCCACTGCTATTTAAATATTTTCTTTCCCTTTTTGGAAATCATTAGCTTAATGTTTTTCTGCATCTTTAATGATGTTGTTTATTTTTAGTTCATTTTCAGCTGGAAGCACATGGTTATAAGGTGTTGCTTGAGATAATGCCGTACTGCATCAATCTGCCTTTAAATGTCTGCATGATCATGGATATCGTGAATAATGATTTACATACTCAGTTTATATAAAGGCAAAGAAACAGAGAAATCTGAACTTCTTCTTTAAGAAACAATTTAACTGAAGTACTTTTGTTTAGTGTTTTCCTTCCATAAAAATATAATTAATTTCATTTAGGAAAAAAGCTTGGGGAAGCCACATCATAATTATTGCTGAATGTAATCCGTACCTTCCTTCTTAGAAGTTACTGTTTTACATAATTAACATTAATTTACAAGTAACTCCTCAAAGTTTGAACTGTGCCTCCTTTTAAATCATATTTGAAAATTATCTTGAATAATATTTAACAATACAATTCTGCATTATATTGTAATTGAATGATTTTAAGTGAATGTTAGCATTTATATATTTTATACATAATACAAATATGTAAACATGTTTTATTTGTAATAAAGGTTTAGGAACAAGGAGCATGGATAGGCAGTGTTATGTGAGAGTAGATGAATATATCTACTGTACTTATTTTTAAATGTGTTGGCTTACCTATATGGCTCATTTTCTCAATATAAATCACAGAGAAAGAATAAAACCAAAGAAAAACTTACAATGATTAAGTGTTAACATAGAAGAAACTTCATATAATTTTGACTATCCATAGTAGCAATAAATGAAGTTGAATAAAGTTTTGTTACTTTTGTTGTCCTTCCAAATGCACACAATGTAATTTTATAGACATAAAGA